AATAATTTTTTTAAATTCAAGCTGAGTGGTGCCAAGAATATTATTGTGAGATATGAATTAAACTTTAGGCTTTAAGATTCAGCAAATATTTTCAGTGGATAACCAAGAAATAACGATAAAATGATGAAGTTTTTATTGATCGGTCGTAAAAAAATTGGAGATTTTCTTCATTTTTTCTGGTATTTTTATGTCTTAACTTTGGCGAATCGCTATCTGTTGCTGTACGTCGCTTTTATCGCTTTGGATAATATAATTTTCATCAATAAATTTTCAGTCCATCGGAATTCGAAAATTCGAAAAGATTTTCTAAAAGCTATGTGATTTTATTGGGGTGATTATTTAGATGGTCGAGTGGCATGTTGCCTTACCTAAATTCAAGTCATTATTACCTTAAAAATGTTATTAAAAGTGAAATCCGGCTAAGGATAGGAACACACCTCTACTTCTATCTCAAAACAGCTCTTCAGCGAAGAAGTGGGCATGCAATGCCATAAATGATGGTTCCAGCCAGGCGAAGAATAAGGAGCGCGAATAGGACAGGACAGGACATAAATATTGTTTATTACAATGTTTTATATCAGAAATATTTATTTCATAAAAAATATTATGTAACATGGTATTCTTAAGCATATGATTCATAATTAAAAATATATCCAACGGTGCTTTTGCCACATTGCAATATTTTTTTTTCCAATTTTCCATTCGATTTTATATATTTTTTAACTGGGAAGCATGAAAATATTTTGAATATTTAGAATATTTGTATAAAAATGTACAATTTATCAAAAAAAGAGATTTAAAGCAGAACATACGCGTGAAATTTTTTTTCGACATATGATAAGCAATTCCTGCAAATATCTGTAAAATTTTTTACAGATCGAGATATTTTCACGATTTTATTTTCACGATTTTCTAGCATTATTGATAATAAAATATATTAAATTTGCAGGCAAGTTTTATAACTTTTTAATTCAATTATTCTTTGCTTTTCACTGATTTCTTAAATCTTTATTGGAGAAAATTTTGCTCGCTCCTGGATCTGAAATTAAATCTGATAATACATATATCCTCTTGATGAGGCATGCAATATTAAACCTATCCTGTAAGATAACTATGATAACGGAATTTTCTTAAAGCCATTTTTGCATTTTTACTTCTTCAATTTTAAAAAGGCGACAACGTCAATGCTTGTCAACGAAAAAAGAATTTTTACATTAGATAGAAAGATAGAATGACGGCAATTTATGGCAACACTATTTTAAAAACTACACTAAAAGATATAACACCAAAAAAATAAAACAGAGCTATACATAAAATAATATCATATTTGTAGTTATTTACCAAAATATTAAATTAAAATAACACCAACTGCTAATACTACTATGCCTACTAAATTTGATTCATAATAATCAGTTGTTATATGACAAGTAGGATGACAAAGGCGATCGGAAACTGAGACTTCTGCTCGTCCTTGAACTACACAACAATACCTCGCATCACTTTCTATTCATGCATATTATATATTGATCATTCTAATTGCTCAATCCAATCAAAAAATCTTGCACTTGACCATTTGCCAATGAAATATTGAAAAAAAATAAAATAAAATCGAAAAACCGAAAGGTCGAAGAAGTCTGATTTATATTTATCACGTTTCATGGTTGCAATTATTTTTAATTATTTTTTTTTAGCATTTCAAGACAAGAAGATAAAATAATTCGCGTTAATTCTCGCCAATTATGCACTGAAAGAGTTTTGAACTTAACTTCAACTAATTCATGACCTTAAGTTAAACTAACGTAGGTAATTTTAGCTAAAACAAATCTATTGTTTATTTGGTTAGCGAAAGATTATTTTTTATTTATTAAAGATTATAACATCTTTTTTCATCACAGTTGAAATTCTTGCTATTAATTATAGCCAAAAATTCCATGTAGAAGGGAAATTTTAAAAATTAAAAAATTATCGAGATCAACATATGGTTTGCCTAAATATAAACATCGCATATGGTAAACGGTTATAATTTAACAATAAATATTCAAAAATTTTTTGATGCCTTATTTTACAAATCAAAGCTCTTCATAACAAAGGATTTTATACAAAGCATTGTCTGCTGAAACGACTTTTCACAAATTTTTTTTGCTCATCATAATTAAATCATTTAATAACTATCATAGTTGTGATAATTGATTTATTGAAATATTATGAATTTAGCATATTGAAAAAGAGTTCCAATGATACGAATGCAAAGAGGAGAAAAAAATATAGGATTCAAATATTTAGAAAAAAAATTTTGATTTCAATAAATAGAATAAATACGATAGATATAAATACAATAAATAGCTGCAAAATTTTCTTCAATATGGCCTACAACAAATTTTAGACAGGGTAAATTAAATTTGAATTGAAGCAATTACTTCTAATTCCACAAATTAAGCAATCAAAGTATTTGCCTACAACGTGGAATAGCAAAGCAATTCATCCATCGATTTGGTCTGTTTTAATGTTGACTAAATCAATTCTGAAAAAAATGACCAGAACAATAAGGTACTTTGATAGATATTCTAAATAACTTTGCAAAAATTTTGGTCGCAGTATTTCACATACATTGAAAATTTTTGCATGTATTTGTGGACCGAAAAAAAACATTGATGAATTGAATTTAAACTTAGAATTTTTCGACTTTTATATATGAAAATTTTTTCCATATTGCTGGATTTGAAATTTTTTTGGTTAGGCTTGCTTCGCTGACTGTTAATTAGAAATTTTTGCCAGAGTCACTTGGTATCGCTTGGCGCTAGAAGTGTAGGCGGGCGGTCACCAACACCACCGGATTTTTTTTTCTCGTCTTTTAAATACAATAATCTGAACCACTATGCCCATAACGAAATAATAAGTAAAAAAATAAAAAATTATACCAATGATATTAGGACCAATGTACTGCAATAAAACAAATTTTTTATAAATCTTATCAAATTTTTCTACCAAATGGGGGAAAATGAAAATTTCTAAAGCAATTGTAAAAAAAAATTTGATTGAATTAAGCAGAATTACTTTAAATAAATGATTTTAAATATTCAAAATATTCAAAAATTTAAGTATAAAAATTTTTTTTGGTTCGGTTTATCAGTTCTCTTACGATTCTCTCAAATGGAGAAAACAGATAAAACAATAAAGCAATCCATAGCAATCCAATCTTAATGTGGGATTGAATATTTTTTATGAATTTCTAATTTCTAATTATATTATATTTCTAATTATATTTATATAAAATGATGTACTGAAACTGTCGCAAAAAAACTTCAACTTCCGTTCTCACTACAATCTGCAATTCGTTAATCAAAACGTCGAATATATACTAAAAAAAGAACATTTTGCAAAAAAAATTGCTGCTTTTCCTGCTTTTGCCAAGAAAATACTATTCTATAAAAAAAAAATAAATTCAGTCTGGAAAAAATATGAAGGAATATTTTAATAAATTTCTCTTTAAGCATTATAATTGAATATCAACATTTCTTTCAGTGTTATTTCTTCGAACTATTATCTTCCAATATGACTAATAGAACAATAACAATTAGAAATAATGGAAATATACAAAAGTTTTGCTATTTTAATAAGATTTTTTAAAATTTTGGGAACCCTTCGTATTTTTTATGTTACTTCCCCGTCATAGAGGCCGAATGGATAATGATAGTTTATCCTATATAAGAAAAAATCCCATTCTCAGCTTTGTAGGTAATAAGGATCAGCTTCGCATCCTCTGCCAAAGCTCTACGGAGTGTCTTATTACTATTCCTCTTCCTAGCAATGTGCTCTTCTGGACAAAGATCTCTTATTTTATTCCCAAAATTTGCTAAAACTGCTTCTTTAGCTTGGGAATCACAGTGCTCCGATTGTCACTGGGACTGCTTTAGCCTTTACTTTCGCTATCGTCTCTAATTCTTCTTTCACTCCTTGATATTTCTCTAATTTTTCATATTCCAGTATTTGAAAATTGCAGTAGCTACATAAAAAAAAAATAAGCTGGTGGCATGATATGATTGTTTCGATCTATGTTAAGCTAACGATTTGCGATTTGCGCATCCTGAGAGAAATGGACCTGCCATTAAAAATCAGATTGATCACCCTGTGGCTTTTTGGCAAAAATTTTGAATCGTACTAGCTAACGAAGCTAGCCTAACCAGAAACAGTGGGCTTACTTTTAGCGATTATCAGTTGATAGTAAAATAAAAAATGATAAAAGCAGATACCACACACGACATGTATGACAAAAAAAACAATTTTATTCCTACAAATAACTATATAACTATGAAGTGTAAAAAAGTGAATTCGGGTTTTTCTATCTAAAATAAAATTCAATCACAAAAGAATGAAAAACATCCGCTTTTAAAGGCAAGCAATGTAAAATTCAAATTATAAATATATTGTAATTTAAATTACAAATATTCAATAAATACATAATATATTATCGTGTGCTAATAAATACTAACCAATAAATTAAATAATACATTATACATATATATATATCAAATATTATATGATGAGATCAAAAAATTGCCACACATACGTGCAATGAACATTACGAGAATTGTATAGTTTCCACATTTTTAAAATGACAGTTGAAATTGAAATATTTTAAAGCATATCCAGTAAAAAACTTAGGAAGACAGGCTGAAATTTATAAGATTTCACAATAATAAGAAACGGCAATTTAATTGTTGGAAAATATTTTTGATTAAATAATTGGTAGGAAAAATGATAATTCTTATGATAATGATAATGATATGATAATGATAAATAATTCTTTAGATGAAGGCAGAATACCTAGATTACGCAAATTGCGGATGTAAAAATTTACTCCCAATCCCAAAAATACTTTCACACCATAAGTTCTTCCTCACTTCGAATAGCACTTTTCATCTTTGGCTAATTCCGCTATAAAATTCTACGTCAGAGGGATATGTTGATCTCAGTTACCATTCGGAGTGGTTATGAAACTTTCAATAAATTACATCAATCGCCAAAAAATAAATTATTACCTTATGATCGCCCATGCAAACAATCTTACCAATGCTGTCATATTTTGCATCATTGTCGCTATTTACAAGCTGAAAAGCATCTGAATTCATTAAAACTCGATCACACCAGGCTGGAGCTCTAGTCTTCATAAATGATCCTGACTCTGTCGGATCTTCACTCCAGGGATATCTGCAACTGCACCTGATTATAAAAATTAATCTGCTACAACTAATAATTTCTATAAATATACCAGCGTTACAGGTGTGAACAAGATGTCAACAGATATATACAATTATTAACAGATAATTATTAAATCCTGTGTTTTCATAAATTAAACTTAAATGGAAAGCACAATAATCGTTTTCAAAAAATTGGCTTACTGACATATTATTAAAAAAATGCGCAAAATTGGAAAAATATTCAAGAAATTTTTAAACAACCCCAAACAGAATATAACGCGTTATTAAAATTAGATGGATGATTAAAATAAAATAGCCAGTTAATTAAAAAGTTAATTCAGTTAATTAACATACAAATTAATATACAATATAATATAATTAATATACAAACTTAATTAAAAAAAGAAATTTTTTAATAAAAGAAATGTCGAATTGCACTTAGAAAATATTGTCAAATAGAATATAACGGGTTCACGGGTTATACAATAGGTAACAAGGGATAGGATGATTCAATGGGGTTGCTGCTCAATTCGGGACACCGAATTGAGGTCGTATTCTCCGCAGGAGTAAATCTGTCCAAAAATAAGGGTGATGCCGGTGATTCACCTGCACTTTTATCGCCAAAGGATTCATTTGCCCAGTGCGACAAGCCAGCGGAATGAGTTTAACCAATTATGGTGAGGACTCTTAAAGAAAAAAAAGGTAGAAAATAATTTACGTTGGAGGAAAATGGATCGGTAATTCGAAAAGCATAGGAAAATTTTTCGCTTCTCTGTCATCTTCCAAATATTGATGCCATTCATTTAATAATTGTTTATGATTGATATAGTCAAACCGTTTCTTCTCGATCCGCAATACACAACTGAAATCCGCAATATGGATTCTTTTTTTTAAAATAATAAATTGCCAAAATATTGCTTTATTTGGCTTTGGAAGCAAGTTAATGAAATGCTTTAAGAATGCTAAAAAGTACTTGTTTCGATCTTCTAATGAATCTTGCGTTTTCCTAAATTCCACAGCAGAAATACTTCGTTTAAGATGATCGCTTGGCATAGAAAGTATGTTACCACACCCTAATCTATTGGATGATCCAGCAGAATCTTTCAAACTACCGAATGACTCCAATGAATCATGTCTAATGTCGGCACCTTCTGTAATCCGCTGAAATTTATCAGTAATACTTCTAAAATACTAATACTTTAAAGATTAATAAAATTAATAAGAATTATAAGGAAAGAATTTAAATTTAGTTATATTTTTGAAACATCAAGAAAATATATATATATAAACGATATTAAGTCTATAAAAGTACTAAAAGTACATGGTAAACTGTAAAAAGAAATTTACATTAAGAAATGTAAGACAGTTAAGCCGAAAGTTCAAATCTCCAAATATGAATAATGGAGTATCGTTTTGTTTAATACAATTCCTGCTGACTTCATCCAAAACATAATTCAAAGCTCGCTTCCTATTTTCACTATACATTAAAGGATTCTGAAGGATTTCAATTAATCGGAAAATATATATACATATTTATAAAATATATCGGAAAATATATGTACATATAGGCAAATATGTACATATTTTGTGAAATATTGTTAAAGTTTAAAGTTATGTATAGATTCTGCATAATAGAATGATTGGCTAGGGAATAAATGGATTTGCATGTGTACTTGCGAAGAAAACCTTCTTAGAGTTGAAAAGGAGCGACATCTCTCCCAAAAGCTTCAAATCTTCTTTAATACTTCTTTGACATCTTCAAAAATTCTCTAAACTCCCTTTTTGCAATCTATAAGTAAAATTACCTTAAACCATACTAAACCATTTCACGAGTAGCCAATCAGGTCTACTCATAGATAACCTCTTAATGTTCCGTCAGGCCTTACCTTGCACTTTTCAAAAGCTGCAGGTAAAAATTATAAAGCCTCAGAAGATAAACTGACACTGAATGTTATGTAACGGAATTTAGGAAGGAAAACGGAAATAAAAAATAATATTTATGGTAAGTTTTCGCTAGTTGCAAAAACCGTATGATGGATGGTATCAAAAACGAGGTAGACCAATCAAGACCTGGACTGATACGGTCAGAAAAGGTTTTTGAACGTATAGGTGGACCAGTGATATATGGACTTAGACGATAGAAAATGGAATGGCTTCAGTTACTGTCGACGATGGCATCAGACCGCGCCACTTGGAAGTGTCTTACCCTTGCAGACGTTGGAGCCAGCCTAACCATTAACGTTAGAAGAAAATTTATGGTGAGTACGACAATATAATAGAATTCAAAGAGCGAATAAGGGAAGAGGATATTTCGAAGTTTAAGATAATCCTTCGTATCCAGAGGGCGATTCTTTTTACTAGTAAAGAAATCAACAAACATCGTTAGAAATAACAAATATCATGGGAAAGATTGCTTGATAAACTAAAGAATATAGATAAATGATGTTTTTCTTCGTCAAAATTTAGAATACATATAACTAACTTCTTGAATTAATGCTATATTTGAATCATCATGGAATAAATGTACATTGACGATATCAATCGGCCTAAAATTAGGAAATTTGGTCTATTTTAACATTTAAGATAGCTTTCAATTTGTATAATTTGTATAATTTTTGTATAATTTTAAAATAAAAAGTGGAAAGAGATAAAAATTTTTTTTCTTAAAATCATATATTTGTATTACTATTATTATTACTATATTACTATTTTTATACCGTACATATCATATAAAAATTATAAAAATAAATCAAATAATAAAAGAATGAAACGCACTGATTATTGAAACGAAAACGGCTATGCATATATCCTTTCCTTCCCCATTTCATTCGTGGCCAAAAATCTTTCGGAAATTTTTTTTTTCGAATCTTGCTGCATTTATCAATTTCTTTTTCCATCATTTCAAAGCCTTTATTTAATCTGCTATATTCATGAGTAACAAAATCATATTGTTCGATTCTGGAATATAAAACTTCCATGAAAAAGTACATCGAGCCTAGAGCCTGGAAGAATATTTCATAAATGGAAATAAAAACAAAATTTGGCAACAGAAATAAAAAATATTTTCATTGAAATTAAGATTCCGAAAAAATGATTTGGAATAATAAAATGCAGTGATGAATATGGACTTTTTTAAATATAGCAAACTACTTCAAGTTTTGAGCCTAAAAAGTTTGAATTAAAAATTTAATCAAATTAAAAAAAAAAAATCGAACCGTATATTGATCCACGTTTTCAAAATCAAGATCAAGATATGCTCGACCAATTGTATAGCCAAGACAGTTCATTCTAAATGCAATCTTTTCCACCATTCCTGGTACTTGGACGGTGAATTCTTCGAAATTTTTGCCACCAGCTTCCTGCATGTGAACAGCAACAAAATGAGCCTGAGCAGCTACTACGGCCTCAAAGAAACGAAGCTGTTTTCACTGTTTTAAATTTTCCATCAGATTTTATCTTCATAAACACTTGGCGTTGTTGACTGATAATCGATTTTATTTTTGATTCCATTGAATTTCAAATGCAATTTTACAAACGGTGGAGTTCAAGGAAAAGGATGTGACTATATTCAACTAACCAGATCCAGTTTTTAATGTCTTAATGAATATTCATGAATAATATCACTCACATCTATTAGCGTATCCAGCCAAACATTGTGAATTAAACAACCCTGAAATTTTTTCAGCAAAGATTACCTGAATATTGTTACAATTTTGGTTACCATTTCATGCCAACTGGAAGTGTACAATTGTAAACTGCGCTTTTAATCTTTTAAGGGTGCTGGGCAGTGTCTAAGATATTCCTAGGAATTTTATATAACTTGGAAATGATGTTGAAATTGACTTACATCACCCACAGGGGTGAGAAAGGAATTATATATATATATAAAAATTCTTTTACTCCTTGCAGATGGTCATGACAATCCTCAACTTCGGATTCTCTCCCAGAGACCTGGGAGATCAAGAAACTTGCTTTAGCTATCCCTAGCAGTGCGCTTTCCTGGATATTGATCTCTGATGTTGTTTCTGGAATCTGCTGAAGCCACTTTTCTACTTTACACTTAGAATCACATTTCCAAATGCTCCAATTATACAAATCAGACTACTTTGACCGTCATCTTCCACATCTCCTATAGTTCTTCTATTAGCCCCACGTATTATTCTCTATGACTTTCTGAGAAATCCCCATTTAGTCAAAGTCATATACTGGGTGCAAGCAATATATACTGAGCATATCTTCTTGTAGATGCCAGCTACTTAGCTATGCTTGGCTATACAATGTATGTTGTTCTTTCTTGCTTTTATTTTGCCACTAGTGGATTGCTTCTGGAGTATTTTTACAATCTGCACTTAGAATCCTGAGCTAGGTCTTTGTTTCAGTGGATCTGGTGCTTCCTCTTGTGCTATAATCAATACCTCACTATTGTATTTTAGCCTTATTTTTTGCACTGGTTGGATTGCACAATATCACCCACCTCAGCTATTTTTCGATGGTGAAATTTATGGTGGCTCTTGTTTTGCCATGGTATTTCCTCTGCTTGGTCGTTTTCCAATGCTTGTAGATCTTCAGTCATTTCCTCAGCAGTTCATCCTTCGATGCAGTATCTCTGAATTCTTCCCGGGTTTTGTTCAAGATGGTTTTCACATTCATCAGCCCCACTCGCCTTCTTTTCTGTCGGTTGGACTTAGGGAAATTTTCGTGCATTGTGAGGAGTTTCCTGATCTTTACATTAGCAATCCCATATCTCCTTTTGTCCAACTTATTGTGCTAGGTGCATATATTTATGGCATAGATTTTGCTCTTCCTATTGATCTGGCTCTTTAAGGTGTGTCTTGTCGTTTGGTGATCCTTAGATATTGCACCTTATCGTGGTAATAATATTAGTATGGGATACCAAAGCACTTGTTTTTAGCATGTCCGCTACATGTCCTGATGGCAGATCCACCTCCTTTCACTATCTCTCTCTTTACTGCCATCTAGCCACACTTTTCTAATCAGAATGATATTACAATGTCGGTGCAGATCGGAATTAGATGGATGAGCGAGTCAATGTCTCATTCACTTTTTGTGTATAACTTGGTGAGAGATGCACCAATGCAAAAAAATTGTATAGTGCATAACCTTGGTATATGCCGCAGTTGATAGGCAGTTGTGAAAGCTGTTTCGAGTTGATTTCAAGTGTTGTTTTCTACAGTTCCACTGGATTTCAATGAATGCCTTCAGGGCCCTGTTGACTTTGTATAAAGCCGACATTCACAAATCCATGTGTGGAGTATTGAATTATAGGCTTTCCTGAAGTTAAACTAAGCTACAGACTGATTGGTCTGCTAAGATTTGAATCTAGAACGATTGTCTTATCCATGAGGAACTGGTGTTTGGAGCCTCTTGTGTTGTTGCCAATACCTTTTTGAGCTGCACTCATATATGGTCATGAAGCTTAGTGCTTGCCATGTTGTGAATAGGCAGGTTATTGGTCGATAGATGGTATTATTGTTTTCTGAGAATCTTTCATGATCTATATCAACATTCTTTGTGCTAACCAGTTTGGGTGGGAGTTTGCCACAAGCAGCTGGTTCACCTGTGTCGTTAGGCTCTCATGAACCTCTGTTTGCTTCTTAGTGATGGTAGCTGGTTTCTGCACTCGGAGATTGCTGTGACTTGTTCTCAGATTCTCAGATCTTTTCAATTATTTTGCATTAATGTTATGAATCTTCTGTTTCGTCCATATAATCTTCCGATATTTTATAGTTTCTGCTATTGCTGGCTTTCTTATTATCATATTATTGTGCTGATGTTGAAAATATACCTTAGACGATTCTTTGGAGAGTGAAGAAATTTATTTTTTTAGCCTCTTCTTCTCTAGTATACTTCCTTAGCCTAGTGACAGGTGTTATGAGCCTTTGTTTAGTATTGTGTTGTTTTTATGGAGTGTAGCTAAATACCTTGTATTTTTCCAGCATCCCAGTAACATTTTTATCCTCTTTGTAATTCTATCAGCTGGCTTCCAGCCTCCTTTTCCAAAACATATTTTTATTTTTCTTTTAATGTCCTTTATTGAATCTCGTTAATTGACTCCAATGATTAATGATTAAATCAGTTTATTTTTGATTTTTTGCCTCATGTTAACTGTTCTGCTTTGCAGTGAAAAGATTTCCAGTTTCACAGTATGTTGCATACCCATCCCTTCTTTCCTCCTCTTTCTGGACGATCTATGTCTGGCGTGTAGTGCAGAATTGAACCACCCAGCTCAGAGAAAAACTTACTTTTCCATATGTTGAAGCTATGAGCCACTAACTGCTTCTCATTTAATGTGAAATATAATGTTGGTCTTTTCTCCATCTACAGTTCTTTCAAACAGTCTCTTTCATATAATCCCTTTCATCAAGTGTATTATAGTATCAATTCCAAATTATTTTGTCTCGTCCATACAAGGCTTGTTCTAGTCCTTTTAATATCAGATTGTCTTGGTTTCACAACACCTAGCGCTGTTCCATCAGTTCAGATAACCCTGGCCCCTCAGCCTGTAATGCGAACCTTGTTAATCCATTCGACATCGACATCCTAGTCGACTCTAGCATGCAAAACTCATATTGAGGTAAGGCATATAAACATTAAGGGAGTCTTGACCATGTCCCGCACTGAAGAGTAGATTTTTTTGGCGATTCGAACCTAAACATCATTGTTTTTTATTCCATGTCAATTTCCCTTTTTAACCTCTGCACTACATGAATCTATTATATTTCTTCATGTGTAGATTTATAATAAAATATATGAATAAAATATTATGTAATGTAGAAATTTTAATCTTTGTTTATCTTCTTATACGATATTTTAATTTCTTCTTATTTTTATTTGGAACATAATTTCGATTAGATGAGAGCATATTTATGAGATGAGGAAGTAGACTTTTAATCATCTTTAATGTTGAATAATCATTAATCATATTTTCCTTATCAGTGTGCCACTGAACTGCAATATATTTTAAAGAATTGGTAAGACTTCTGCGAAATTATCTTAAAACTTGGACCACTTTAAATTGAGCCAATTTCGGCGATTCGAAGCGGTAAAAGCGGAAAAGGCAATGTTTTTATTTTTCGTCCAAGTATCACCTGGATTTCATTTTTAATTGCAAATTTGCTCTTGCCTGACAATGATCGAATTCATAATATTCGGTTTCAGTCGAAGCAATGAACCACTCAAGGGGAATCTTTATTGTTGAATATTATTAAATAAAACCTTGAAATCTTTCAACAAATAAAAATTTGAAACAGTAATGAATGCTAGAACATCTTTAATTGCGATTTCTGACGCTAAAACTCCAGCGAAGTGATGGCATCGATAATTAACACGCATGTTTCTTTGAATTTATCAAAATAGAAGGTACTTTCCTGTCCTAAATTTTTTAAATTTAAACAACAAGTACGTATAAATGAATTGTTATTTGATTTTCTTTTTATTAATTTAATTTTTTTGCGATATTTGTCAAATCCATCAATCATTGGTTTGGAAATCGATATGCAGTAACAGCTAAATTGCCTGCGTTCACTGCAAATGAATGTAGAAACTCAATTAATTTAATTATTGGCACTGATTTGAAAAAGAAATATAGAGGTATCCTGCGAAATAAATTTTCGATTAACTTTTAGACTACTCCAGTATCAAGCACCGAATCTTATTCTTTTATTTATTTATGGAAGACTGCATTTTCATATTATACTGCAACGAAACAAAATGTAGAGAATAGGCTTAATTTTACACTGATATATGAATTCGGTTGTCTAATACCAAAGGAATTTGTGATGTTATTTTCGGTATTTTTTAAAAATACGATTGGTTGTTAATGTATATGATTTTGCTTAAATGATCAGTAGTTCATTAATATATGATAGCATTTTATTTTTGACGTAAGTGAAGTGTGCAATCATGGTTTAATTTTCAAAGTGTTCCGTTGCAAAAAATTTTGGAAAGCACTATCCAATACGAAATTATTATGTATGGTAAATAGTCTGATATAAAGCAAAATTAATTTAAATAATAAGAACAACTATTTTAGAAAATACAAAAAATATGCGTACACATCTTTAGCGCCCTATCCACTTTGATTTTTTTTTATGTGTTTTTACGTGTTTGCATATTTAGGATATGTATTTCCCAAAATTTATTTTTCTGAAGTAAGCCTATTTTGGACATTATTTAATTCAATCTCATCAGATTAGTAATCAGTCTTGGTGAAATATGCACACAAGAGCTCAGAAGATAGGTAAATTTTTAGTGCTAAAAACTTATTGATATTTTTTGCTTTTTTTCACGCTGAATTAACCATTAAGGTAATAATATGTTTTTATAATAATTTCTGTGCAAAATTCGGTGGCCTTTGATTATTTAGCACTTTATTTAATCGAGGTCAAGTTTTTTTACAATGATCTATAGAAATAAGAATAAAGGATTAAGAAGAAAACCGTCAAGTGCCGCATCACTTTTTTATTTCTCTTTTTAAAGTAAAAACTATGATTTTTCATGTTACTGAAATAAATTCTTATATCAACATAGATATTTCTTACTCAATTAAAATTAAAATTAAATTAAAATTAAAATTAAAATTAACCTAACCTGTTAAATTTCATCGTTTTGTATATGCTTTTGGAATTTTAATTATTCTTCTATCGTTAATGTTTTTTTCATAAGATTTTTTCGCCTAGAAACTTCCTTTTTTTATTTTCATAATTATTTTATCATAATTATTCATTTTATATTATTCATTTTATAATTTGAACCTTTCCAGAAATAAATATCGAAATTAATCACATGTGAAATCATTCCATTCAATAATTTCATTTTTTTTTTATACTTCTATTGATATTCTATTATCATCACTTCATTTTACAGTAGTCTATTGGAATTTGACCACGCCGCATCAATAAATTTTCACTTTGATGACATTTCTTTTATTATAACCATAAATACTAACGATAAAGATAGTATGAATTTGAGTAAATTCTTCACAAATTTTTCTTTCTTATTTATATTATGACTGCCTTAAGGAATTTTTTCCAGTTGAATTCTACTGATTCTACCAACCATACATTCGTATGTCTTTTACTTGAAAAGTTCTCATCAAATTATTCCAGTAAAAGCAATTGCTGTTAAAGCTTTCTCGCCCAGCTGACGTCAAGTCCTACAATCACAAATCTAAAAAAAATTCCTGCGGAATAGATCACTTAACATACATACTAGCACAGCGGAAACGCATCCATCTAAACTAAAAATTAAAACAATCAAAAGGCTCATTTTCCAGTTTATCTTTATTTTCCATTCCTTCTCCTTCAATAATTTGAAATATATCGCTAATCTGCAGCTTTTCTTCAACATAGGTGTGATGAAAGATATATATATGTGAGTTATATTCGTTAAAAAGAATTTTTTTTCGATGATACATATTGCAATTGGGTTTAAAAAGGTTTTATCAAAAACAAATGAGCGAGATTTGAAAAAGCGATCTTGTCAAAAGTTCAAGAGTCAAATTTTATTCCGTGAGTCAAATTCTTTTCAGGATTTAATCATTTTCGGTCTTTCAAATTTGTGCTTCATATACTTACCATATTTATTCGTAAATTTAAATTAATCTTCTCGACTTTCGTTAACTTTATTTCAAACTGACTTCCTATTTTATTATTAAAGTTAAATTAGTGCTAACATTCATTACATGACATAATTCATTGAGGCGTTATGAATTGAACAACAACAGAATGCATGATCATGCTAATTGACTTTCTCGTCGTTAAGGAAGGAAATTTTCTTTACCGTATACTCATTGAAATTATGAT